AGGCCAATGGTCAAATCATTTTTTTAACCTTATGCTCATTACCTAACACCTAATGTATGTCAGGAATTTGTAATTTTGTGGTGGAAGGTTCCCATGTCAACTCCTACCTAAGTTACCCATCTTAGTTTAAAAAAAAAAGTTTGAGAGAGGTGTTTAAGATTTAGAAAGGCTAGGGGCAGCTAGGTGGTGCAGTGGATAGAGCACTGGCCCTGAAGTCTGGAGGAACTGAGTTCAGATCCGACCTCAGACCAAACACTTGACACTTACTGGCTGTGTGACCTTGGGCAAGTCACTTAACCCCAATTGCCTAAAAAGAAGAAAAATTTTAAAAAATTTTAAAAAAAGATTTAGAAAGGCTAAGTGCCTTGGCCATGGTCACATAGTATGTATCAAAGGCAGATTTGAATCCAAATCTTCATGACAGAAAGTTTAGTACTCTATGCACAGCATAACGGACTCCTCTAAGATAGATAGATAGATAAGATAGATAGATAGATATGTACACAAATATATGCACATACATATATATATGTGTGTATGTACGCCATTATTGTCTCACGTTTCTGGAACACCTCAAATCAAGGCACTTCATGCTGTTTTGCAGATTACTCTCTTAACTTGTTCATGAACTACTGTGATGTCATTTGTTAAGAGTGTTCACTAAGGTTCAAGAATCATTATTAGTTGTAATGAGATAAAGCACACAGACAGTACCAACCAGTCTATTCTTACAGAAACACTCTCAGTTATTGCTCTTAATTCAGTCTTCATTGCTGGAGACTTGACTACTCCATCTGTCTCACAGAGGCTGTTAACTATCGTGAAAACCCAAACACATTCACTCCTCTATCTAGGTAGAGCATATAATTTCAAGTTAAAATTGCTCATCAGTTCTCAGGACCTAAGACAGTATTGACTCTTTTTAACTATCTTGGTTCCTACAAATTGGAGGATTTTATCCCCAAAGAAATTAGCAATAGGGATAATCAGGTTTATATATAAAAATTCTACATTTTTCAATGTAACTAAAAAATGCATAAAATATCTGGGCATCAATCTGCAAAAGCATACTCAATGCCTGTTTAGGTATAATCACAAAGTACTCATTAAAGAAGTAAAGAACAGTTTCTATAACTGGTGGGAAATTCAGTACACATAGCTGAGCCATGTCAATGATAAAAATGACAATTGCACCAAAATTAATTTACAGATTTAGTCTATTAAATACTGTCAAAGAAATATTTTACAGTGCTATACAATATAAGCAATAAAATTAATTTGAAAGAACAATGTGTCTAGACAATAAAGAGAAATAATGAAAAGGTAACAATTATGGGATAATAGCCCTTTCAAACCCCAACTTACAATATAGTAATCAGAAAAACTATTTGGTACTGCATGAAAAAGAGAAAAGTCTATCAATGAAACAAATTAGACAAGGAAGGGTCAGAAATAATTAAACTCAATAGCCCAATGTTTGATAATATAAATTACCTAGGAAAGAATTCCATGTTTGATAAGAATTACTAGGAAAAATGGAAAACAGTCTAGCACAAATTAGGTTTAGATCAGTACCTTAAGCCACATACCACAACAAATTCAAAATGGTTATATGACCTGAATATGAAAGATCATGCCATAAAAATGATAAGAAAAGCTGATCATATTCTCTTCATAGCCATGGCTAGGGAAAACAAACGATACAGGTAATTATAAAAGCCAAAATCAATTATTTCAATTCTATGGAATTTTAAAGCTTCTGATTGAATAAAATTAAGGTAACAAGGATAAGAAGAGAAACATTCATCTGGAAGAAAATCTTTGCATCAAATATTTTGATGAGATTTTTTTTAAAGATCCCTTTTTTCCACTTCTATATCCCTTCATTTTTATATATTTTAAAGGTTATTGATGAGTTTTGTTTTTACATTACCAACATTTATAGATTAGCCTCACCCTGTGACAGGTCTGGATTTCTCTTAATTAAAACAAAAAATCAATAAGGTTCTGATATCTAAAATAGAGACAACTAGTAAAACTATAGAAGACAAAAAGTCATTACCCAATAAACAAATGTTCACAGAATATGAAAAACAGTTTCCAAAAGACTAATGCAAACTACTAATACCCATGTGAAAGACTGTTCCAAATCACTAATAAAAAGAAAAATGAAGTCAGAACAATTCCCAAAGTTCCACCTCATGCTTGGCAAATTGGCAAAGATGACAATAAATAAGAATGATCAATGAGGGATTATGGAAAGATAGTCACAATAATGGCATTATTGGAGAAACCATAAATTGGTTCAACAACTCTGGGAAGAAATTTGAAATTATTAATAACAATAGTATTTGTATAGCAACTTAAGGTTAGCAAAGTGCTTTACAAATATTGTGTCATTTTACCCTCACAAAAACCCTGACAGGTAAGTTAGAAATGTAGAAACTGAGGAAGAAAGAAGTTAAGTGATTGGCCAGGAGTCACACAGCTTAGTAAATATCTGAGGCAAGATCTGAACTCAGGTCTTCCTGACTCCAGTCCAGTGCTCTCTCCACTGTGCCAACTAGCTATTTTTTATTATGCAAATTATGTAAAAAGAATTACTCTTTGACCCAGAGATTTCACTGCTAGGCATATACTCCAAGGAAATCAGTAAGAAAAAGAAAAGCCTCATATATGCCTAAATATTTATGGCAGCAAAGAAGATGTCCATGAACTGGGAAATGGTTAAATAAATCTCAGCACAAGGAATATAATAAAATATTAGTTAACTGTCAGAAATGATGAATAAAGCTCAGATTCCTTAAGAACCTAACCAACAGCTCACAAATGTTCAGATTCCTTAAGAATCTGGCCAATATGGTGGATCTTTGATAAAACTTGTCTCTGGCTGAAAAAAAAATGATGAATATGATGAATCCAGAGACACTTGGAACTGAATTTTGAAAAATTATAATGATTAAGCCTGACCCCAAATAAGAAATATGTGAAGACATTATCCTCCTCACAACTTGTTCTTTTTTTATTTTTATCTATTAATTTATTTAATTTTTATCTATTAATTTATTTATTTTGACATCAATTTTTTAAATGTTAATTTAATTAATTAATTAATTTTTAATTTTTAATTAATTTATTTATTTTTAGTTTTCAACAATCACTTCCATAAGCTTTTGAGTTTTAAATTTTCTCCCCCTCCCTCCTCCCTTCCTCCCCAAGACGGTACACAACCAGATATAGGCTCTACATATACTTTCCTATGAAACATATTTTCACATTGTCATATAAGAAGAATTAGAACCAATAGGAGGAACCACAAGAAAGAAGAAACCAAACAAAACACAACCTGTTCTTTGGAAGAAATGAGGACCTATGTGTATGGAACACTGGATGCAACATCTGACTTTTTCAATAGTGGTTAGTTTTGTAGAACATTTTTATCACTTTTTAATTTTTTGTTATAAGACTCTCTGAGAAGGAAATGAGGAAGGGATATATTTAATAACAGATGATATAAAAATAAAAGATATAAACATTTTTGTTTTTAAAAAAATCCAGATACAAATAAACTTTATCTATGCAAATGATATTTTAGCTACATTAGTAACTTTGAAACTTGCTCAAGATTTGGATAAGGAGGGAGAGGACTGAAGAAATGTGATCTCTTGGATGGAAAAAAAACCCCACAAACTCTTGGAGCATTCCCTTATTCCTTCCTACAACTCTTATTTTGATTACAACTAAATCAAGGAGGCTTAGATAAAGATGTTGTGCTTCAGTGGTGCCAGTTGGTCTTTCTTGAGAGCCACTCCTATATAAGAGATAGACAGGAACATTCTTTGTGAATGATCCACATTTGCTAGTATCATGTAATCACTCGGATAATTTTCAAGGCAAATTTAATCACTTATTGCCCTTAAATTTGTCGTTATCGTGGTTCCCCCCCCCCTTATTTATGCATTCTCACCAAATTCCCATAGCTTGCCTCTATCTCCTTTGCCAGAAATTTATGCTAATAAAGGGGAACTCAAAAAATCAAATAAATTAAAGCAAAAAGGGAAGGGCTGCCACAAATGTTGGGGACCACAAAATTAGCAGGTACTAGGATAAATAATTTGAGAATCTTAGAAAGAAAATGTGGGTACCTATAGATAAGCATACACACATTTATCCAATGACCCATGAAATCACGTTAGTCCAAATTTACCCTTGATTTAGAAGACATACGATAAAAGCATAATTTACTACTTTTAAATATGTATTATTAATAATAACAACACATTTATGTGCTGCCTTAAGGTTTAACAAAACACTTTTCTCACAACAACCTTTTAAGATATGCAATAAAAGTGCTATGTTCATTTTACAGATGAGGAAACCAAGGCTCACAAAGATCAAAGTGATTTTACCTAAGAGCTATACAAATTACGTTAGACAGTCCTGTAGGGGACTCAACCTGCAAGTACAATCTGGGGAGGGAGATAGGTACAGAGGGGGCTTTAACACACACAACTGGAGAGGCAGTATGGGCTAGAGAACAAGGCAGGGGACTTGGAGTTAGAAAAACCTAGTTTCAAAAACTGCCCTCAGATGCTTGTTAGGTGACCTTGGGACAGTCATTTAACTTCTTATGCCTCAATTTCCTCATCTGTAAAATGCGAGTTACAGACTCAATTGCCTCCAAAGTTCCTTTAGCTCTAAATCTCGGATACTATGAACACTATAATATGGATTAAGATATAAAACATGGATTAGCATATCTTATGAGTTAGATATCATCTTAGAAAGTAGGGGTCCTAAAGGAAGGAATAGGATAGAAGTATGGAAAACTTTCATAAAGATGTCAAGAAAGGAAAAAGGCCAGAGGATTAGGTTTATGATTGAAGGCAGGGATCTTAGACCATCTGTAGCATCATGCAGGTATCATAAGGTGAGGCTCTAAAGAAAAACTCTACCTGTTTCATAATTTGTTTGAGGGCCAGCCATGCATACACACTTACTGAGTTATCTCTTTGAGCTTCATGCAGAGCATTGATGGCACTATTATGAGCCACAGGAGACTTGCACACCAGTTCCTTAATCCACCTAATAGCAGAGTTTATGAATTCCTCACCGGCAAAGACAGATTCACACTGCCACTTGGTCATGATCTGAGCAGCTCTGGGGGAGGAAAATCACATTGGATGGTGGTTTAGCAGTCATTCAATCAGCTTTGTGAACTAGCAGGATATTAAGAAATACAGCTCAAAGTGCTTTCACCATATTTTACCTCTTTGTGAGAAAGGAAAAGAAGGAAGGAAGGAAAGAAGTTCTTATTAGGCAATATTCTTACATTATATATTATATACATATATCATAAATTGTACAGCTATTTCCCTAATTAATGGGTTTCCAGATCTTTGCTATAATAAAAGTATTGCTATACATAATTTTGTACATGTAGGTAATTTCCCTCTGTCTTTTACTTCTTTGGACAATATGCCTAGTAGATGTATGATTGGGTCAAAGGGTATATACAGTTTAGTGACTGGCTATAGTTCCAAATTGCTTCCCAGAACGATTGGACTAACCCACAGCTCCACTAAAGGCATATTAGCTCGCACTAATTTTTCAAGAATATGTTGCTGAGTGTATTCGAAAAGTTCAGGAAAGAGGGATTTTGTTTTTGGTCTTTTTAGGATGAAGGAAAATTGAATATGCATGTATATGGACGGGAAAAAGTCAGGGAAGAGAGAAAAGTAGAGATGGGTGAGATAAGGTCCCTTCAAACTCTGAAGTTCTATGATCCTAATTAAGTCCTTCTAAACTCTAATAGCTCATTATTGTGGGTAACTCTTCCAGGGGTGCTGATTGCAACCCATCCAAACCTTCATGCAACTCTTGTCCATGTCTCACCATCGGTCTTCCACAAGAGGTCCACTTAGTACGTAGAGGACTTTCCTCTACATCTCTTGGTACAATGTGTATACTAATAGAATATGACAGCTCTGTATTTCTTATCTTTTATTCTTCTTATGTGACCAACTTATATCCTTTTTTTCATATTTCTACCTGATGCATCTTTCATTCTCAAGTATAGTCTTCCACTAGCTATCTATTGGCAGACTACTCACTCACCATGTATCTCTCCATTGCCTTTTAGTTGACCCATATCTTCAATTCAGTTTAATTTGGCAGGCATTTATTGTTGTTGTTGTTCTTGTTATTTATTATTACCTTATTAGATATCTTCACTAAAATGCATGTGTGAATTCTACCTCCAGATTATTTATTATTTTGGAATCAACTTACCGTATGAGGTTAAATCTCGTCAGATGAGCCACCTGTTCCTCAATGACCATTACAAGAGCATCTTGGCAAAGACTAAATTCCTCCTCATCCAGAGAACCAAAATCTAGCACTATGGTGATACATTTGTCCAAGATTACGCCAAAAATTTGCCGGCTTCCACTGGTCAACCAATTCATCCTCTTTTGGAGGCATTCCGCAGCATCATTTAAATGCTTCATAAATGGACAGATGAACTCAGTTTTTGCTATTAGCTTTACACAAAAAAAGAAACCACAAAGAGATACCATTATCAAGGTAAATTCTGGAATCTTAGGATTAGTAGACAGGAGTTATTGTCCCATCGTCCCTATCAGTGGAAGAGCTTCACCTAAGTCAAACAATAAATAAGAAGAATTCATGTCTATATATCACTTGAAGGATTACAAAGGTTCAAAATAGAGGTAAATCTCATAGATATTGTAATGTCAATCTTACAGATAAGGAAACTGAGGCTTAGAAAAATGAAATGTCTGTCAAATGATACAGTGTGAGAGCTAGGATCTGGACAAATAATGCTCTGAGTATCTCACGTAATCTCAAAATGTTTCCATTTTTCATAGTGAATTTTTAAAGTCAATAAACTATTAGAGACTATAGGAGAGAATTAAATCTGGTCAATTCCACTTGCCTAGTCTATCAGGTCTGATTGATTTATGAAAAGAGATGTCAACCAAGGCTGATAATAATCCATTCCTTCTCAATTTTTCAATTGGAAAATTCTTGAAAAGGTCCACTCAGGTCGTAATTCAGCCTACAAGGAGAAAGCTAGTTTGTTCATATTCAAGATTTTTGTGTACCTTTTAAAAATGCTTTTATAAGATTTGTTTATATACATGATTCTAGGGTTATCTTTAGATAAGAACACTTGACCACTCTCAAAAAATTCAGTGGAAAAGAGGAGAGACCCTAGTAAAGCAGATTGTGAGATTCTCATACAAAATGCTCCTAAACATGTAACCAAATGCTCTGAATGTTCTGAAATTCACAAATATTTCTTCCCAGATTTATTAGCCATGGTGCCATAGCTACTCAGCACTCATGGCCAGAAGCACTTTAGTCTTTCTCTCCAATCTTCCACGTTTCCAACCAAAGTTTCACCATTATAAAGTTTCTTGATTTTTTTTTACAGTTATGACATCATATATCCTTCATAGGAGCTATAACTAACTAGGATCAGCAGCCCTTTACTGCCTCTAGGCAATATGTAAACCCATTTATATTTGGAATTTCCAAGGATTGCAATTGCAAACAGTAAGAAATTATTTCCTTTCCTTTCCCCTGAAAAGGAGAAAATGGCCCTTTGTTTCTCAGTTAAAACCCACCACAATCTGATTCCAATGTACCCTTCTGGACTGATCTCACATTCCATGTCTCACTCACTCCTACATTCCAGCCAAGCTGACCTACTGGCCATTTCTGGTACATAACATTCTATTTCCCCCACCTCCATTCCTTTGCCCAGGCTGTTTCCCATACCTAGCATATTCTCCCTCCTTTCCTTTACCTCTTGAAATCCCTGGGTACTCTCAAGATTCTACTTAGTACCACCTCTTATGGGAGGTCTTTCCTGATCTTCCCCCACCCCACACACAGTTATGAGGGCCGTCTGTACCCCGACCCCTCAGATGACTTTGCATCCATGTTTTATTCTCTTCATCAAATATAACATTCTTGAGAGCAAAGGATATTTCGCTTTTGCCTTCACTAGCCTAGCACATTGCCGTGCTCTAAAATTAACAAATGGCTGTTGAACAAAATTTAATTCAATTGAATCATAGCATTTAGAGCTAAAAGGGACCTTAGAGACCTTTAATCCATCCCCTTCATTTTATAGTTGGGGAAACTGAGGCCTAGCAAGGTGAAACAATTTGCCCAGGGTCACACATGTAATAAATAATCAGAATTCAAACTTAGGTCTTCTATCTGCAAATCCTAGGCTGTTTGTGCCATAGTATATAGTTGATAGATATCTATATATTTGAACATAAAGACCACTGTTATGTACAGAGCTTAGATCACATGCAATTGTGTAGTATCTTAGGAAACTGAAGTATGCCAGGTGTCAAGTACCTATTTTTAAATACATATTTTTATGCCCCAATATCTATTCTTTTTTTTTTTTGGTAGAGACAAAGAGAAGCAATGTGGTCAGAGGAAAGTGCTATCACAGCCTTAAATTTGGAAGGGCCCTCAAAGTTCATCTAATCCAATCTCTTCATTTTAGAGATGAGGAAACTGTGGCCATAGGGACCATATAAGTTTCAATGTCATATAGGTGGAAAGTGGCAGAACCAGATTTCAAACCCAGGTCCTCTGATTCCATGCCTAGAGCTCTCTCTCCACTGTACCACAAGAGTCAAAGGATCTGGGTTCAAATTCTGACTCTGACATTTGTTATCTGAGTGACCCTGGGACAAGTTAATTAAGCCTTAGTTTCCTCACCTACAGTATGAGAGAATTAGGCTTCTGGCTCTAAATTTTATGATTCTGGTGGGGGGCAAGGGACAGAGAGAGAGGATGGAATTCTGTGCAATGCCCTCAATGTAGAAATAAGAAATCCAGTACTTTCTTTTAACTAAATTATAAGAGATTTAAATATGGGAACACTCTCAGCTATCCTAAAGTACTCTAGGGAAATGATAAAAAAAAAAACCTGGCTCATGATAGGTTTATGATATGCTATTGTCCCTTCCTTGACTTGAAGCCTCACTCTTCACCAACAAGATTTGCCTGCCCTGGCTTTCAGTTAAGGCCTATATCCCTGTTTTACAGTCTTTTTCAAGGTAAAGTTAATGTTGATACGCAAGGATTTGAGCCTTTGGTCAAATTCTTTACTCATAGTTCTCTGATAGGGCATCTGCATCTTCATGTGGTGCAATAGATAAAGTAATGGGCCTGGAATCAGGAAGACTTAAGTTTAAATCCGACCTCAGATACTTACCAGCTGTGTGACCCTGGGCAAGTCACTTAACCCTATTTGCCTCAGTTTCCTCTTCTGTAAAATGAGGAGAAGGAAATGTGAAACCAATTCAGTATCTTTGCCAAGAAAACCCCAAATGGGATCACAAAGAGTCAGACAAGACTGAACAAAAAAAAAAACCCAAAGAAGCACTTCCTATTCAAGATGCTTAAGAGTCTCCTTTGCTGTGGGAATACTGGTGAAGTTACCCACTAAATCAGAGGAAGCATGATGTTGTATAAAAAGGATAGGACTTAACAGTCAGCAGAGCACCAAGTCTGAATTCTGCCTCAGACACTTACTAGTTGTGTGACCTTGGATAAGTCACTTAACCCAGTTTGCCTCAGTTTCCTCATTTGTAAAATGAGCTGGAGAAGGAAATGGCAAACTGCTCCAGTATCTTTGCCAAGAAAACCCCAAATGAGGTCACAGAGAGTCAGACACAATTGAAATGACTAAACAGCAATAATCTTTATGTGAGATATGAAATACATTATTAATCACTGTATCAAACATAAATGTATTAAACTATTCAAAGAAAATCTTTGAAAAAAATCTCAGGTTGGCTTTTGTGTTTGTTCATCTATATCCTATCTCACCATCCCATTCCCCAAACCTTATCATCGCTTAATGAAAGACAATACAATGTGATAGACTCATTTACCCTGTAAACTGTGCCATCTTCTGCTTTACAGAATCGACAAAACAGACCATTTGCATATCGGGAAGCCACAGTTTTCCCTATTGAAGATACATAATCTGTATTTTTAAGAAAAACACAAATTGGGGTAAATTACTATTTTTTCTTCTTTTTTAACTTTTTTCCTCTGTCACAGTTTAGACAACAACCTCAGTGATGTCAATCAATGATGTCTTATACTCTGTCCTAAATAATAATAATACGCCTCAAGGGTGCATATAAATGTAACCATTTTTGATACTTGTAATTTTTTGTGTACGTAAGTGATAAATATAGGTAATTTCTTGATTTAAAATCATAGAATTCTCAAGTAAAGGACAATCTAATCTAACCCTTATGTTTTACAAATGATCATTCTCTTCAGGCAGCTAGGCAACACAGTGGGTAGAGGGCTGGGCCTGAAGTCAGGAAGATCTGAGTTCACATCTGGCCGCAGATGCCTACCAGCTGTGTGATCCTGGGCAAGTCACTTGTCTGTCCTTCATTTTCCTTCTTTCTTTCTTTCTTTCTTTCTTTCTTTCTTTCTTTCTTTCTTTCCTTCTTTCTTTTGGCTAGGAAATCAGGATTAAGTGACTTGCCCAGGGTCACACAGATAGTAAGTGTTATATGTCTGAGGCCTGATTTGAACTCAGGTCCTCCTGAATCCAGGGCCAGTGCTCTATCCATTGCACCATCTAGCTGCCCTTTGTCCTTCATTTTCAAAGAGGACCAATGACATCATGGGGGTGATGTCTTGATTTGTGCATGAATTGGATTTCCATGAGACAGAGTTGCACAAAATTGTCAGCCTCACTCTCTCCTCCAGAGTCATCATCCAGTGGCAGGACAAAGGTCAGAATGACTGCCAATGGCCTGGGATGCAGTGGATGACCTTGGCATCTTTGATGTCTGACCAAGCTCTAAGCATTCCACAGTGCCTGCTTCAGCCACCATCGTGGCTGTTGGAACAAATTGTTCTCATCCATCCATTCCTCCAGGAAAAGTCTTCTCATACTTGGGGTAGACATGGTTACCCTCAACCTGCATTAGCCCATCTGGGAGACAATTTACCGGAGTGTGGCCACTGTGCATGCTACAACTTCTTGGTGCCACAGGTGAGAGTTAGATGAATCAGATGAACACCATAGGTGGATGAGCAGCCCCAAAAAAAGCTAAGCAAGTCCTTACATCAGAGGTGCTAGTCTTCCTAAATGGTCCATACATCCCACTTAAGTCACTTAAACTGTGTTTGACTCAATTTTCTCAACTATTTAAGTAGGATAATAATAGCAATCCCCTCAGGGTTGTTGTGAAACTCAGATGAGATACTTTAAAAAAAAAAAAGTGCTTGGCACATAGTAAATGCTATATAAATGCTTATTTCCTTCCCCCTAGCACTGTTTCTTGGACTTATTAAAGCACAAGCTTCAATGGATAATCAGAAATTATATTTAACTTAGAAGAGTTAATCAGATTTTGACTTGGATTTCAGGACTGAAAAAAATTAATCTCAAATATATATTATGCCTTAGGGAACAACAGCATGGAGTGCTAGACTTAGAGGAAGGAAGCCTTGGTTCAGATTACATCTTACTAGCAGTGTGACCCTGGGCAAGTCACTTAACCATTCTGAGTTTGACTTTCCTCATCTGTAAAACGTATCACCAAAAGTGTCAAATATTTATTCTTTCAGAATTCTAAGAAGGTTTTTTAAAGAGTTATTTCAAAATTAATATTAAGCTTTAATTCTAATAGGGTTTTGATATGTCTATGTAGATATTAATCTTTTTTAAAAAAATACACATTTCAAGAAAACTAAACCATCTAACCCAATTTTTTTTCAAATTGAGAACTATCGTAAATATTAAGTGGGAAAAAAAAAGGTAGAAACTATACCAAGGCCTTAAACATACAAAGAATTCCTAGTTCTTAAAAGAGGAAAAATAGACTTGAAGGAAACTTTAAGTTTCAATTATTTTAAAATCCAATTCATTTTATAGTTAAAGAAACAGATTCTCAGAGAAGTTGTAACCCATCAAGTTTACTTCGCTAGTTGGTAGCAGAGGCCATGCTAGAATCTAGGCCTCCTAATTCCTAGGCCAGAGCTCTTTCTTACTGCTTCTCCAGGCCTTATTCTGATTCAGGAGTTACAGAATCATCTCTTGCCTTCTAATTTTTGACATCATATTCCTTGAGTTGTGGGAAGAGGAAGAAAGAAATAGATCCATTGGGGCAGTTAGGTGGTACAGTAGATAGAGCACCAGCCCTGGAGTCAGGAGAACCTGAGTCCAAACCTGGCCTCAGACACTTGCTGTGTGACCTTGGGCAAGTCACTTAACCCCAATTGCCTTACCAAAAAGCAAAAAAAAAAAAAAAGGATCCTTTTTTTTTCTTTTTTCTCTTTTTTTACTTAATGTTCTGATTCTTTTTTAATACTTTGTGGATACAAGTGCAACATATTGGTTGTCATCTGTTGTCATCTCATTCTTTTCTTTTCTTTCTTTATTCTTTTAAAAATTATTTTTTATTTTGAACATTCTTTTTTTTCAATTTTGAGTTACAAATTTTCTCCCTCCTTCCCACCCCTTCCTCACCCACTGAAAAGCCAAGAAGAATGATATCAATTAATTATACATGTGAAATCATGCAAAACATATTTCCATATTGGCTAATCACAAAAATAAAAGCAAAAAAAAAGTGAGAAAATTATACTTCAATTTGCACTCCCAAGTTCATCAGTTCTCTTTCTAGAGATGAATAGCATTTTTTCATTATGAGTCATTCGAAATTGTCTTAGATCACTGTATTGACCAGAGTAGCCAAATCTTTCACAGTTGACCACCATTACAACATTACTGTTACTATGCACAATGATCTCTCAGTTCATATAGGTCTTGCCATGCTTGGTTTTGTTTTCTTCTGAAACCACCCTTCTTATCAAGAAATGGATCAATTTTCCAAGCCAATCGTGAGTTCAGATGGAAAGGATTCTTTCTAACTCTACCAAATTTAAATTCCAAGAGACGGTACTTATAGGAAAGTTGGACTCTGTTGACTGGGTATTTAACGGATATGATATCTTGGAAGATATTGAATATTCTCAGTAATGAGTTATTCAATCATACATGGCATCCAATTCTACCAAAAATAAATGGAATTAGGGTTGTAGTGTAGTAGAAACAGGGATATATTTAGAGTCAGAAGAGCCAGGTTCAAATCTTACCTCTGGAGGCAGCTAGGTGGCACAATGGATAGAGCACCTGCCCTGGAGTTAGGAGGACCTGAGTTTAAATATGGCCTCCAACATTTACTAGCTGTGTGACCCTGGGCAAGTCCCTTAATCCCAACTGCCTCCAAAAAAAATATCTCACCTCTGTCACTTACTCCCTTTATGACCATGGGCAAATCACTAAAGCTCTCTTAGCTTAAGTTTCCTCATTTGTAGAATAAGGATCTTGGTTAGGTGATCTTCCATGGTCCCTTCCATCTATAATGATACAGAATGTACCTGATCAGGGCTATTTATCTCAAAGCCTAGTATAGGAGTCATCTCCTCTAAAAAGCCCTCCTTTCTAACCCCACCTATGCAGATTTGTACCAAACTTAAGAGACTTTACCCTATCATCACGCCTGAGATTTCCTCTGACATGGGAATATCATCAAAACAGAGATGATATTAACCTGGGCTCCACAAACCATCAAGGGGTCCATGGATAGGATTCAGGGGATTCATGAACTTGGATGAGGAAAAAAAGTTACATTTTCATTTTCACTAACCTTTGGTTTCCCTTGTAATCCTATGTATTTTAACTTATCATTTAAAAACATTATCTAAGAAAGGATCCAGAGACTTTGCCAGACTGCTAAAAGGATCTATGACCCAAAAAAGGTTAAAAACTCCTGCTTTAAACATATTAGAAGAAGCAACAGGGTACAATTATAGCAGACAGCAGCTTTGAAAGAATGGTGATTACTTATTTGAATTCAACTGACATTTCTGTGCTCACTCTTTCTCAGGACCTGAAATCACCATTTCTGAAAGGTCACCTTTCCTGTGTGATCTAATTTTATTGGTGCAGAGTTCAATTCAAGATATAAGTTTCTATTTATCTGTTACCTTCAAAGCCAAAAGACCTCCTTCTTCCTCCTCCCCAGACGGTAGCGCTGCTAGACTTTGTGGTTCAAGAATTCATTCATTCACCAAATCATTACTGAGTGCATAACTATATGGTATGAGTGACTGTGTGAGGATACAAGATGAAATATAAGATGTGGCCTGTGCCTTAACCCATGGATAGACTTGTTGCTCAAAGTGAGTAGAAAGAAAATCAAAAAATCTCTGAAAAATAAAACCAGTTTGCTAGCTACTTCAAGCCCTCTCAGAGGTTAAAAGATATACTTTCTATCTCCTGATAAACCTTCCATATCCTAAAGCATTCTCCACTTTATAGTTTTCAAATATTAAGCAAGACTGGCCAAGACCAAGGCTGATTAATTGGCTCCCTAGGTCAATTCAGCACAGTTTTAGGGTCCTTTGACAGGTTCAAGACACCTTCTTATTCTACCTGGTCCTTTTCCTTAACCTTGTCCAAATTTGGGATTGACTCCTGTTCATATCAGGTTTCAGAATCTGGCTAGATTTGGGACCAAGACCATAATGAAAACTGAACAAAATGATTAGGTAAGATTGAGACACAGTCAGACTGTAAGGAAAGGAGCAACTTTGTCTTCTGCGAGATTTCTTTGAGGAAAACAATGGCCCATCTCAAGCCTGAGTACAAACCCCAATCAGTGCATCAACCAATCCATTTAGAATAAAAGAAAACACACTATACCAAGCTGTGAAAGGAAAAGAGCTAAAGCCACCCATGTCCTAAAATTCTGGGACTACAGGAAGTTGACAGTATTTTGTCCACTTAAAGGGTTCTATAATGCATGGAACAAAAGTTCACACACACACACACACACACAAAGTTGACACACAACATGATGGTTAGTCTGCCAGGCATGTAAGATTTGCATATACCATACCTTCCTGATGTGGAAATCCAATCTGAGATAAAATCTGGGACAAGGTCAGTTTTTTGGTTTTGAGTCCATGAATTCGAAGCCATTCCTCAGATGAAATGAGATTAGGTCTGGCCAAGTATCCCTGACTGTTATTTGGTGCCACATTTTTTGACAGTGGCCTTCCATAATTGGGGGGTGGTAGTACCCTCTCCAACTCTGCTTCATGGTTCAGGTCACTGGAAACTATTGTAAAGGAAGAGACCAGAGCACAATTGGAAAACTTACAGCTAACATTTATATGGCATTTTACAGTTTACAGAACACTTTATGTACATTCTCTCACTTGATCTCCATAGCAACTCTGTGCATTAGATAGGGGAGATATTATTGTCCTCATTTTATGCATGAGGGGACTAAAGTCTTAGAGAAGCTAATTGACTTGTCTGAGATCACACAGTTCATTAGTAACAGAACCCAGACTTGAAGCTAGGTGTTCTATTTCCAAGTTTAGTGCTCTTTTCACTAAATCGAGCTACAAATATCCTCCTTTGTCCATCTTTTTACCCCTCACCTCTGCCTTTGTCCTTCTATACATTCCTCTCCTCAACTCATCAAGAATATTTTAAACTTCCAAAAATAGTCCCACCTCATACATGGCTGGAGGAAAGGAGTCCCTGAGGTTGAGCCCCCAGACAGAATTCAGAAAATAACAGTTAGGAGGACCTGAGGCCTAGGGCAACATTACCCACAGTTCGGGATTAAAACCGGATTATGATAATAAGGTGCTAAAAATAAAATAAAGCAAGGGGGCAGCTAGATGGTGCAGTGGATAGACCACCGGCCCTGAAGTCAGGAGGACCTGAGTTTCAAATCCGGCCTCACCAAACACTTGACACTTACTAGCTGTGTGACCCTGGGCAAGTCACTTAACCCCAATTGCCTAAAAAAAAAATAAAATAAAACAAAATAAAGCAAAACAATTAAGCAAAGGAAAAAGAATCTGACCATAGATAGCTACTTTGGTGTAAAAGAAGATTTGGGTCCATATTCAGAGCAAGAAAGTGAGGTAAAAAAAGCCACTCCTACCCCAAAGAGTAATATCAAATGGTCACAAGGCCAAAAAGAATTTTTGGAAGAATTTAAGAAGGAATCAAAAAACCAAATAAGAAAGATTGAAGAAAAATTAGAGGAAAAAAGTAATAATAATTAAAGGAAATTATGAAAAGAAAGTTAACCAATTGGAAAAAGAGATATAAAATCTTTTTTTTTTTTTTTTGCTTTTTGGTGAGGCAATCAGGGTTAAGTGACTTGCTCAAGGTCACATAGCTAGTAAGTGTCAAATGTCTGAGGCTGGATTTGTACTCAGGTCCTCCTGACTCCAAGGCTGGAGCTCTATCTACTGTACCACCTAGCTGCCCTGAGATCCAAAATCTTAAGGAAGAAAATAACTCCTTGAAAAATGGAATTGGGGGGGGCAGCTAGATGGTGCAATGGATAGAGCACTGGCCCTGAAGTCAGGAGGACCTGAGTTCAAATCCGGCCTCAGACCAAACACTTGACACTTACTAGCTGTGTTACCCTGGGCAAGTCACTTAATCCCAATTGCCTAAAAATTAAAAAAAAATTTAAAAAAATTTTTTAAAAAAGGGCAGCTAGGTGGCGCAGTGAATAGAGCTCCAGCCCTGAAGTCAGGAGGACCTGAGTTCAAATCCAGCCTCAGACCAAACACTTGACACTTACTAGCTGTGTGACCTTGGGCAAGTCACTTAACCCCAATTGCCTAAAAAACAAAAAAAGAAAAAAAAAGAAAAATGGAATTAGGAAAGAGGAATTGAATAATGTTATAAGACACCAAGAAATAATAAAGTTAGAAACAATAGAAAATAATCTGAAACATCTCATTAGAAAAACAACTGATCTAGCAAAGAGAGACAATATAAGAATTGTCAGACTACCTGAAAGTTATGATCAAAAAGGAATGTGGATACAATATTATAAGAAATTAACAAAAAAAAAGGAAATTAATGAAAATTGTCCTGAAGTTCTAGAACAAAAGGATAAAGTAGAAATAGAAAAACAAAAAAACCTGCTGTTCATCACCTGAAAGAGATCCCAAGAGGAAAACTTAGAGGATTTGTCATAGCCAAGTTTCAAAATTTCCTGGTTAGGGAAAAAAATATTTCAAGCAACAACAACAACCAAAAAAAAAATCTATGGTCAGTATTTCACAAGACCTAGCAACATCTACTCTAAAAGATCATAGGTCCTGGAACATTATACTTCAAAAAGCAAAAGAGCTGGAGTTGTATCCAAGAATAACTTATCCAGCCAAGTTGAGTATAATCCTGAATGGAAAAAAATGGACATTTGATGAACTGAAAGACTTTCAGGTATTTGTAACAAAAAGACCAGAACTCAATGAGAAATTTGATATAAATGATCCAGAAGAAATACAAGGAAACTATTAAAGACTAACTACAAGGCACTCATTAAGGTCAAACTGTTTACTTACTATATATATAAAAATGTTATCAATATTCTTAAAACTGTCATCGTTACTAAGATAGTTTGAAAGAAAGATTGGAACTGAGTTGTGCATGATAGAGTGATTCTACAAAAACAAAACTGGCTAGGAAAAGGTAAAAGGGAACAATTATATTATAAAAATGTGGCGTGAAAGGAAGAACTAACACAGAAGGTCAGGGTGGAGGGCTGGTAATGTTGGAACCTTACTCTCATTTGGGTTGAACAGAAAACAACATGTACATCTGAAAGGACGTAGAAGTCTTCTGAATATATAGAGAGATAAGAAAACTTGGGGACAGCATTTGGGAGGGACTTTTAGAGGGTTCGGTAGATTGAGATTTGGGAGAGTGGAGAGAGAGGATGGGGGAAGGACTTTTGGAGAGGTGTGTAAATTGCTATTGGAGGGGTGGGGGAGAAGTTGTGGGGGATTCTTGGAAGGGTGGGTGGGAGGATAAGCTAAGGTAACCAAGATAGGGTAAAAAGAGAGGCTGAAATAGAAAAATAGAGTAAAAATAAGATAGAGGGAAATTCACAACTAGTAATTATAACTGTGTATGTGAATGGGATGTTTACAGCAGTTCTTTGTGGTGGCAAAAAGTTGGAAATTTCAGGGATCCCCATCAAATGAGGAATGGTTGTGCAAGTTGTGGTGTATGGTTGTGATGGAATACTACTATTCTATAAGAAATGATGAGCTCAATGGTCTTAGAAAAACATGGGAAGACTTGCACAAAATGGTGAAAAGCAAAGTGATCAGAACTAAGAGAACATTGTATAAAGTAACAGAAATTATGTTTTAAAAAACTACTTTGATCAACTAAGTCATTTTGACTATTATAAATATACAAATTAAAAATAAAAGACTTATGAAAAAAGATACTATCTGCATCCAGAGAAAAAACTGATAAATAGAAGTATGTATAGAATGATATACCTATTTGTGTCTAATAGTAACCCTCTGAAAGGGGAGGGAAAAAAAAAGAAAAAGAAAAAAAAGAAATTTATATGATAACTATTATATATTTAAAAGGAATAGTAAGTTGTACATAATAGATTTGCAGTTTCACACACTATTATCTTTTTTATTATACTATGTTATGGAAATGCTTGTTTCGTTTCATAAATTAAAGATAAAATAAATTTTTAAAAAACATAAATAGCTTGAACCAGCAAGCAGAATGAGGAACGTGAAGCATATTATATTGGCCACTTAGGCTACATTGCTTTCTTTTTTTTTTTTTTTTTTAGGCAATTGGGGTTAAGTGACTTGCCCAGGATCACACAGCTAGTAAGTGTCAAGTGTTTGGTCTGAGGCTGGATTTGAACTCAGGTCCTCCTGACTTCAGGGCCGGTGCTCTATCCACTGCGCCACCTAGCTGCCCTGCTACATTGCTTTTAATAGCTATCCTGGGACAATCTGTATGTATTTTAAAAGACACTCAAATTCTTCCTCAGTCAGAGAAGCTTATCTAAACCTGCAGGGCCACAGCTAATGTAGACCTACCCAAGAGGCAGAGGAGAAAGGTGGGGTGAGCTGGTAAATGTTTTACAACTATTCTCTGACGGAAAAAAGTGTCTGCACGGCACACTTTTAAGTTTAATCTGCATTGTCGATACTTTGTCCAATACTTTCTTAAGTCTGTTGTTCAGTCATTTCAGTCGTGACTCCATTGAGGGTTTTCTTGACAAGTGGTTTGCCATCTCCTTCTCCAGCTCATTTTACAGATGAGGAAACTGAGGCAAACCTGCCCAGGGTCACACAGCTAGTTAGTGTCTGAACCTGGATTTGAACTCAGGAAGATGAGTCTTCATTACTTCAGGCCTAACTTTCTATGCACTATAGTGCCACCTAGCTGCCCCATCTAATCTAAGCTTGATATATTATTACATTATATTCTCACAATCCTTCGTCCATTCAGTTGTCAAAGTGTTCTTCCTAAAATACAGGTCTGATCATGTCACCCCCATACTCAATAAACTCCAGTGGCTCTCTATCAAGTGGAGAATCAAATACAAAATCCTTCTTTGGTGACTTTCTCAGGGTCACAGAGCTAATAAGTAAGGACCTCATTTAGTACACGCTATACTACCTAAAGTAGGCAGTTAGGTGGCACAATGGATAGAGCACTGGGCTTGGAACCAAAAAAACTCATCTTTCTGAGTTGAAATCTGGCCTCAGACACTTACTTGCTGTGTGACTGTAGGGAAGTTACTTAACTCTGTTCGCCTCAGTTTCTTATCTGTAAAATAAGTTAGAGAAGGAAGTGGCAAACCACTCCTGCATCTTTGTCAAGAAAACCCCAAATGGGGTCACAAAGAGTTAGACATGACTGAAACAACCCAACAACAAAAAATACTAACTAAAAGATGGTCCTGTCGCATGAACTCTAAATAGAGTCATATACACCTAGCAATTCTGGCAATTATAACAAGTGGCAATGAAATATACCCTCGAATTAACTTTTTAAGATAAATTTAGTTGGGAGGAGAAAAGATCCTAAGATATCAGTATAGGGAAGTTATTGCTAAAGGAGAGGTAGGTAACAAACGAGGCTGAATAAGGGAGGAATTAACCTAAAGGCACAAAGCAGCACAAAGCACCATCTTGTAGCTTTCTATCTAACTATTCTATTCCTTCAAACTAATCTTAATTATAGTTAATTAAAAATAATTAGGGCAGCTAGATGGTTCAGTGGTTAGAGTGCCTTGCTCAGAGTCAGGAAAACTCATCTCCCTGAGTTCAAATCTGGCCTCAGACACTTCCTAGCTGTGTGATCCCGGACAAGTCACTTAACCCTGGTTGCCTCGGTTTCCTCATCTATATAATGAGCTGGAGAAGGAAATGGAAAACCACTCCACTATCTTTCCCAAGAAACCTCTAAATGGGGTCACAAAGAGTTGGACAGGATTAAAAAAACAACTGAATAACAACAACAAAAATCATTAACTCATTATTCTTGCTAATCGAGTGCTAAGCTCAGTTTCAATGCCACTGAAACTAACAACTTGTACTAACAAGTGTTGTCAATGACCTCTGTATTTCAACAAAACCCTGTTTACCCCCAAACTAGTTATGGCTCTGACTTTGGGTATTATATCAAAGCTCTAGTTATTTTTATTAAGTCAGACTGGATATTTGCTGATATTTTGACTCAAATTTCAGACATTAAAGGCTTCCTTATAATCCCTTCAGATATTACTTAGGAGAAAGGCAAACACTCATAAGTCTTATATTAGGTTACATTGTCCATGTGGAAGACATCACCCTCTAGAGACCCAGCTAATCTGAGATCACGAGTGCAAGATGGAGGAATGAGCCCAAATTATGTCAATGGTGAACATCAAAGAAATGGTCAAATTCCTATCTTCTGTGAATATCTTGCCTTTCCCACACATACAACTAAAGTTTAGTGGCAATATAATAGTATTATTAGAACAAACAGAAATACCAACTGTCTATTTCCTTATGGTATTCAGTTTCACTCCAAACAAGTCTCTGCAGGTTTCCAGTCATTTTCTAGGTAGAGTTTGGGGTTACTCTTCCTCTTTTAACTTGAGAAGCAAAGGGCTCAAAGAACAAAGATCAAACTAATGATCCTCAGTCTTCTTTTCAGGATTCATATACAAGTTTCTCCAGCAAAGGAGCCTTTAAACTTGACAAGTAGTTCCTGTGAAGGCAAGAAGGGGTGTCTCAAGATAAACAATTTCAATTGTTTCAGCATTACTGGTAAACCTTTCTCTACTCTCAAAAGCACTCATTGTCCTGGCTATATTTTGGAGTGTTCCTTTACAATATATAGATGGAATGTGGAATGAGTGGTTCACTCCAGTGAAGGTGAATACTGGCCTGTAAAATAGTTTAATTAAGCTCCCCAAAGACTTTTTATGAAACCTAAAGAATTTTCAAGCCCTGTATTTTGCATATCAACTAAAGTGAGGCCTTTATGGTACCAAACCAAAGATAACTTGAATACTTTGACCCATGCAACCACAGAGTGCCATGTGCCAACTCTTTCTTCCCAGAGCCAATTTCAAAAGAAAAAAAAAGTTCTGGCCACATTGAGTCTAAGAGCCTGCCGATTCCGATTCCATATGGGAAAGTCAAGCCAAAACATTAAAGAGTTTGTTTAACCTGCCAACAAATGCCTGCATTACAGTGAATGGAGCTGATTTGAAAAAATGAAAATTACCCAGGAAAAATAAGAGAAGAGTTGGAAAGGGCATCTCCTAACGAAAGGGTACATTCTTTACAAATTTCCACAAGCCTTTCGGAGTACTTTCTAGTCTACAGAGAGAATCTCATGTCTCCAATCAGACCAAGGTTAATTGTCCTGTTATAGTTAAAAACAAGAAGTTTCCTCTCTCTCTCTCTCTCTCTCTTTTTCTCTCTATCTCTTCTGAGAGTTCATTCATTACTGAGTGTATTTAATTAGAATATGTAACCAAGGTTTTTCACAAATAAATTCATCACACATAAGAATCAATCAAATACATAGAAAACCAAAAGGGACTTGCCCTAAATTGTAAAGGTCAACAAGCAAACAAGATTATATATGATTCTGGTAAATAAAAGGGAAACTTTGAGCAGGAAAAGGAAGTCTAGATAGAAAGAGGAAGCAAACAACGCCCATGAGGGAGAATTAGGAGGGGCTGCCGGGGACAGGAGGAGAGGAGAGGAAGAAAGTGTTTAGGAAAAAGGAAAAGGAGAAGGTGGTTAAAAAGAAATGCCATGTGATAAACCAAGAAACAAGTAACCCCTGAAAAGGATCTGAATTTCTTGTTGGAGATTCATCGGAAGAAACTATAATGACTTGTAAAGAATTACAATCCTCCTGGATTGCTGGGTCCTACCTGCCTTAAACAGTTGTGGGACAGTTACTTACCACCTACAAAACCTATGATGTAAGAGCTGTGGTACTATTCATCTTGTCCTAAAAAGTCCTTCTGCGGTCAGAGATGAAACTGAAACAACACTTGATGAACAACAGCAAAGTAATGGTTTTAGTTCCTAGGAGTCCTTTCCCTCTTCTTGAAAAAGTAAAATGAGCCTGGACATGCTATCAGCCTGGTGACGTAACATTTTGTAAGTTGAGATATTCTCAGAGAAAGGAATGAGTGGCTATAGTGCCTGTGAAGAAGGCAATATCTTGCTGCTGCACTATCTCCTCAGGAAACACTGCTACTGAGACAAAGCCAAGATGATAGAATAGAAGAAATCGCTATATCCCAATTTCCCCCCAAACTACTCCAAAAATGATCTAAGAAGGATGCTGGACCAAATAGTGACTAAGAAAAAGGAGAAACTACCACAGGTTATCTTTCCAGCCCAAGATCAAAATTTGATCTATAAAATTTGATTGACCAAGGGAGGACCTATGTAGCAAGGAAGAGCCAAGATCATGGACCCAGCACTGACAAAGAGTTCTGAACCAGGGCAACAGCCCAGGGATACCAAGATCCGATCAAAGACCCAGCCTTAGGCCCAAATCAACATGTGGTTATTTCCCACATTTTTCATTTCATACTTCAGTCATTTTTCAGTCATGACTGACCATGACCCCTTTGGGGTTTTCTTGGCAAAGATATTGAAGTGGTTTGCCATTTCCTTCTTCAAATCATTTTATAAATGAGGAAACTGAGCCAAACAGGGTTAAGTGACTAGCCCAAGGTCTCACAGCCAGTATGTATCCAAGGCAGATTTGAACTCGGGAAGACAAGTCTTCCTGACTTGAGGCCTATTCACTGTGACACCTAGTTGCCCTTGATATTACCCAGAGTTGCAGTCAGAGCTCCAAGCTAGGCCAATGCAGAAGATATTAGATTTCTGATTCAGTCTCTGTCTATGTCTCTGACTAGGAGCATAAACGCAGTGCCCAGAGCTTCACAGTAGGCCAGTAGGGTAAGAACTTCTGGAGCTTATCACAGATTCAGGCCTGGGGACCTAACCAAAATATAGGGGTTTCCCAAAGGATCTAAGAGTCTGAACTCTTACCCAGAGTTTCAAGCTAGGTCTGCAGTGCAGGAATGTCCAGAGCTGATCTTCGACTCAGCTCCAGACCAAGTCAACAGCTCAGGGCCTAGAACACAGCACAGACTTAGAGCTCAGAGCTCCCAATGTAAGGTCACCTAAAGCAAATTGTAGATGGAGTTCCCACCTAGGAAAGAAGAGTTGGAGGGAAGTCTCTCAGTGGGGCTGGGATCATAGACTCAAAAAACCTGAGCTCTTATTTAGGTCATCAATGTCAGGTTGCCCAAAGCAGATCGCTTGAAGAAGGACCAAACAAACAAAAGATAAAAAGGTTTTATGAGACCAGGAATGCCCAAGACACAAACTCAGAAAGAAAGAGCAAATCTAAAATACCTACAAAGACTCAAAGAAAAACACAACTGTACATATATCAATTAGAATTCCTTGAAGAAATTATGAAAGAAGTTTTTTTAATGACTTAAAATAATATTGTAAATGAAATGAGTGATAAAGTAAAGAATTAGAAAATAAATGAGAGCTATAGAGGAAAGACAGAGAATTAACAACTTGATACTAGAAATACAAAATCTTAACCATGTAGCAGACTCCCTGAAAATTAGAATGAACCAGGGTTAATGATTCCATAAGACAATAAATATTAAATGAGTCAAAAGTTTAAAAAAAATAGAAGAAAATGTAAGGTACCTCACGTAAAAAAACTGACCTGGAAAAGAGATAAAGGAGAAATAATTTAAGAATAATTGGACTATCTGAAAGCCATGACTAAAAAAGAAATCATGGAAGAAAATTGTCCAGATCTCTTAAAGTCAGCAGGCAAAATGAACATAGAATACAATAGTTGCTTTCTAAAATAACTACAAAATGAAAACTCCTAGAAATGTCATAGCAAAAATCTAGAACTTTCAGGTCAAGTGAAAACAAAATAAGGCAAGCTGCCAGATAGAAAAAGCTTAAGTTCCAAGGAACCACAGTCAAGATCACACAAGATTTAGCAGCTACCACCATAAAGGAGTGGAGAATTTAACGAACACAGGCAAAAGATATAGGCCTACAACCAAGAATAACTTACTCAGCAAAATTGAGTATAATCCTACAGAGGAAAAAAAAATGGGCCTTTAATGTAACAGAGGGTTTCCAAACATTCTTGATTAAAAAAGAAAAGAAAAGAAAAGAAAAGAAAAGAAAAGAAAAGAAAAAGATGGTTGCTTGGGTAAATACAAGCAAGCAATCAGAAAGACTTTACAAAGATGAAGTATCTGAATTCTAAAGGTGGGAGATGGTATAAGCATCCCCTAAAAACCGCGATATCAGAAAGGGTCGATTAAGGGAGTCAAATAAGATGGAATGCTTAGGAATGATTTTTTAATATATTTTGATGATTTTAAAAAGAGAAATGAAGAGGATGAGGAAAAAGGATATACTAAGAAAAAAAGGAAAGGCTAGAGGGATTTATCATGAAGGGGTCTTGCAAATATTAGTCTATACAAATAAGGAAAGTGTAGGGGGAGCAGGAGCCACTTGAAAATCACTTTGAATTAATGTAGGGCGAAGTGAGCAAAACCAGGAGAACAATTTATATAACAATAAGAGTGTAAAAATGAACATTTTTGAAAGACTTAAGAATGCTGATCACTGCAGTGATCATCCATGATTCCAGAGGACCAATGATTTAGAATGCTACTCAACTTTTAAAAGAGAGATGATGGACTAGTTATGCAAAAGAAGAAATACATTTTTGGATGTGATTGATGTGGAAATGTTTTGCTTAACTTTGTATATTTGTTAGAGGAGTTTTGCTTTTCTTTCTTTTTGGGGGGGATGAAAGAAGGTAGCTGCTAATTAATTTTTTTAAATAAAATTTAATTTTTTAAAAGAAAAATTGCCACCTCTGCCCATTATTGTCAAGGCCAGGCCAGAAATAACAGTCTGAAGGACCAAATGTTGTAAATAACAATAAGAAACCTCAAGGCCATGCGACTCTGAGGGTTGAAGAAACAGGAAAGAAAAATCTGAGGCAGACCAGGGCATTTCACAGAAGGGACATTATTTAGAAAATGAAAGAGCTAAACTCAAAGAAGACAGAAAAGCAGTCTATATGATGAATGAATCCCATTAAACATCTAAGGACCATGAAGAGGCCAGAGGAAGCAAGGATTCATCTATAGAAATTACTCTGTAAAAATTGGGTATATTGGGTGTCAGGTAGCCAGGCAAAGGGTTTTCTTGGCTAGGAAGTCAAGGAAATTTTTAAATTAGAACAGAATCTTCAGATTTATAAATGCATTGTTCATTACTTTTTTGAAATAAACTTCTATCAATTATTTATCATCTCAACAATGAAATGAATATATCCAAATGAATTCCATCATCTTTTCCTCTTTAGCCCAGACAGAGGCTAGAAATCTGTTTATTTGAGGGGGAGGGGAAAATGTTGAAATCATATCCCATGGGAAATAAATCTTTTCATTGTAATCTGGTAGAAAAAGCCCTGGTTTGAGACTCAGGAGATGTGGGTTTTAGGCCTC